TTAAATTATGTTCATTATGTTACGCATTCAGAATTCTTTCAAATTCTATCAGCCTTCATACAGCTCGTTGCGTGTATTTCTGACATAATATTCTGGGGAGGCTCATCATGTAGTACCCAGACCTTTAGATTGCAAAGGATAATTATTCGAATAATGAAAAAATGCCATCCGCGTGATCCCTGTAAGCCTCTCTTCATTGACCTTGGAATCTTACCACAGCTTTGCGTATTTATTTACGAATCTGTAATTTTGTCAAAACTGACTTACTTAACCGAGGCATATTTTCATGCAGTACTGATATTTATAATTACAACACACGTCGTAGAAATCACGTTCGTCAAGTGTCAGTAACAACGACTATCAGAAATCCACATACATGTACGTTACTTTACAACGCATTGGCAGAGGGCATTAAACAATGGAAGTCGGTACACAAATTTACGTAATATCTTTCCTGCAGCATAACTGTTTCTATACAATTAGAGACTATATTGATCATCAAAAAGAAAAATAATGTTTATTTTAACAAAAGTAATATATAATGAATTAGTTTACATTTTAATTATTTAGTTTTTTTTTTTAAAAAAAGACAATGTGCTAGTAACAAATAATATCCTTCAGCTACCTGATCAATGACACCCATTTCAGTCAGGTTTTTGTCCAGTTTCCCTGATCCACTGAACTGGAATGGCCCCTTGTTTTGTTTCTGGACGTAAATGTAGCTTCACTACGCGCACGTTTTGTTGAACTCTCCTTTTGCTTGTAGGGGTAGGAGTAGAGGTAAGCGCGAGTTACTATTTTGTTAGCAATGCAGAAAAATAATATCTGCAATTCGTTTACCATTGTAAATAAGTTTTCTATAACTGGGGAACGAAAATATCTAGTTTTTACAAATATTGCTAATCTCGCGCTTTTTTAAATTTTGTTATTTTTTATTTCTTTTTCTTTAACTTTTACTTATCTTTCAACTATTTATAGTTAAAATGATGAGAAGGGATTCTGGATCTCAAGAAAATGTGCGAACATGACCTTTTCCTCTATATGTCACATGCCGTTTTTTCACGAAATGAATGTAAAATGAATTTTCGGTATCGAGGACCCCCGAAACGAATATTTCGACTACACAACGTGTTACAAGAAGAAATTTACTACATAAGCAAGATTTAACCACTTTGATCCCACAATACGAGTTTTTCTGTTGAAAAATCGCCGATTTCTGCAGCAGCATTATAATTCGTGATAATACGTAAGTACGTAGTACGGCGAGATAGTAATAAATGTAGTGAATTTGTAATTGAAGGACCAACTAAAAAAAATGTACCTTTAAAATACTCCTCTGTACTATCGATACTGTTGGAGGTAACATATCTTAAGGTAAAACATAAACCGGTTGCAGTCCAAGATGTATTTTAACAACGCAAATAATTTAAATGGTCTATTGTGTTATTTTTCACTATTTTTAAATAATAATATGCTCAGGTTGAAGAATGATTACTGATTTTACAGTAAATGTAAGACTATTGATCATTTTGTGAAATTAAGTGAAATGATTGAATCGAATACTTCAATCGAAACAGCACATTCTCCAGACCCAAGTCTTAGATGCCCCAAAGATCATATTTTGGCATATTTTTTCCTAATATTACATGAATTGTTATAAACATTTAACAAACAAAGTTGGTAAAAAAGACAACTCCTCCAGGAAAATAGTATTTATAAATGCAATACAAATATACTTGTACATAATCATTACACTAGGAAATTAAATAATTTGCTCTTCTCTCATTCTTCAACAACACTCTGCCAAAAACGAACATACTACTATCTCTACTATAAACTCCAAGGCAATTTAAAGAAAATTTACATAATTCAGAAATTTAATAAACATACTAAGCTGTTTCTTACTAAATAGATAAGTCTTACTATAGCATTGAGAATACCTTAATGATTAAGTAGGTAAATTAAAAAAAAAAAAAACATAACAAAATGCAAATAAAAAATGTAGTTAAAATTTGATAACAAACAGCGACAAAAACAAAATTATTCTTATTCTTATCATCATCATTATTATTCCCTACAAAATTCAACATAAAATGTAACAAAATTACTTTCTATTTAAAAAGACAATGCAATTCCTCTAAACAGAAGAACTTAAGTTATTACAATGTATGCACATTTGGTTCTCTAAAAACTTATTTCATATTTTGGATCCATAAATGTTTTTGAATTTGTAAAGAAGTGATTTATTGATTTGATAGTAATTTTTTTACATGACAAGTTGATTTCAATTTAACTATCTATGATCAAACATTAAATGCCTATTTAATCTGGAAATTGTTGTTGTTGTTGTTGTTGTTGTTGTTGTTGTTATTATTATTATTATTATTATTATTATTATTATTATTAATTACCATCTTCATAATCTTAAAAAACAGATTCGGAAGTGTAGGTGGCAGGACAGGAGTAATTTCAAAAAACTTTATTCCCTATTTGTGATCCATCGGATCCATACATATTTTTCAATTTATTTATTATATATTGTAAATTTTCTTTTAAAATTTTTTAAATAAGAGATTTACTGAATATTTAATCATGGTCATTTAGTCATATTACATGGATTGATGCCCAGGAAAATACATAATCTTGACTGTACATTTATTAATAATTGTTGATTTTGTTTGATGTAGTCAATCACCTTGAATTAATTATAATCTATTTTATTAGTGTATTCAAAATTTTAATAAAATATTGTATTTACCATATTGCACAGTATTGATATACATTCTTCTTGACTTTATCAGTGGACTTTCTTTATCAGTGGTATTGCTTCAATATTTCTGATGCTCTTCATTGGGTTGTTGTTTTTATGCTATTGTAAGCCAGTCATGTGCTTTACACAGTACTTCTCTGTTTTTGAGTTTTGAGATCTTTTTCATCAGCAATTCAATAACTTTCCCTGAATTTCACTTAAGAATTTATAAATAAATAATTTAATAAGCATATTTAGTTAATCTGAATGCATATTATGCAGTGTCTTCAAGAAGCAATGGTTATTTTTTTTCTGCTATTGCAGAATATTTTAAAAGACAATTTCTTACTTTTAATTTGCCTATTTTGACAAATTTATTAAAAGTCTTTATTGAAATACTATTTTTGAAATAAAATGGTTACAAAATATTACAATCACTTTAAATCTTATTTAGCAATGATATTATCTTTCACTTTCCACAATGAAAGCTACACTTGACTATGCCGTACCTAAACAAACTGTGCAGATTACTATACTTTAATCCGTTCATTTTGTGTCAAGGTGCAAGATGGTACAAGACATGTTGGACAAAAAGTATTTCTATGCTTACCTTGCATAAAGGACACATTGAAATAGGGCAGTTATTAAGAAATAAAAAAAAACTGTCTTTAATTGTATAATTTGACTAATTATAATAAAATATACTTTGGCTTGGTAAAAATTACTCTACTTATTGGTCATAAAAATATTCAAGAAAATATTACTTATTGTTTTTGCACTTACAGCATGATATAAATTATAAATATTAAAATAATTGAACTAAACAAATTTTACAACATTTAAGATTTTTTTAGCTTCAAAATATCGTATTTGGTTCAAAGACATGCGGAGCCTAAAACGAGAGGAGGGCACCAACTATATTTCTGGACCCCATTATCCATCAAACTTTTTTTTATTATCATATGACCTACTTGTATAACAATTTTCTGCCTATAAGTGGTTTCTGTGTGGGTTTATGTTGTCCATCTTTCTGGTTAGATCTGAAAGTTTCTCCAAGCTTTTACCTCAAAATTGTTTGTTACACTGAGGTACAGTTCACAAAGTACAATTTTTATTTTTGTAGTGTTTGGAAAATTTATAAATTTTCATATGCTTCATTCCACATTTTAATTAATACATTTACTATGACTACATATTGTTAAAAATATCATACAGAAATAAAAAAATTAATGTTAATTATTAAAAAACAGTGAGTCATTAATGGCTACAGCACTACACGTATTGACTTCTACAACTAAGGAAAATGTCAATTTTTTTTTATTTCATATTTCTAGACCAGGGGCTCCCAACAGGGTCTATATAGATTTTATGGGGGTCAATGAAATTTTGAAGGGTGTCAATGGTGATCAAGAGGTCGATTGGGGGTCAATAGTCGACTGTTCATGATATTAACTGTTTTATGATACAAAGCAACAAAACATATAATAATAAAAAACAAATTGCTCCTCTTCTATTGTATCAGTCTTTCATCCTTTGGAATTAAGTAATTAGAATGTTTAGCAAAGTAAGGAAATTATAATTATGCAATGACGATACTCTATCATGCAAGAAAGTTCTCTCTGCAATACGCACTGGAGAAATGTTATGGCCAGTTCTTAAAAAGCACTCAAAATTTTGTAACCATTGAACCATTTCAATGAAGATTAGAAATTCAGTTACTCAAAAGCAAAAAGGTCTTTGATAATTGAAAAATCCTAATATTTATGATAATATTGGGAAAACAAATTGTTATCATTAAAACTAAGCAAACATTCTCAAAACTGGGGGCAAGGAAAGAAAAAGGTTGGGAATCCCTGCTCTAGAAAATAATACTCGAATGTATAGATATAGTAATAACATTGGGATAGACAGCTGTGTTTCCGTATTTTCATAATTATTTAAATATTTTATTACTTAAAGATACAGGCCCATTTCGAAATTTTGAGGAGGTCACAGCCCCTAGATCTCCCCTGGGCACGCTTATGATTGGAATAAGTTAGTCAAAGCTCAGGATTTATTACCAAAGATGATCAATATTTTAATTCAAAATTTTTAGGGTAATATGATGTCAGTGCAAGTGTCAAATGACAGTACTTGAAAACATTTCAAGCCTTTTTGTTTAGGAAAATTAAGAATAAGAGCATTAACAAATGAAAGGTAGAACAGTTTTGGAGTATCAGAATAGGAGCATTCAACAATTATCGAATAATACCTTGGCTTTACCTAAACATCAAAGTTAGTGATAGTGAAGTTTCTTCTCTTGTAAAAGATGTCATCTCGCAGTAGATTTTGAAACATTGTTCTTAACATCCCTCTATATGCCTGAGTCTGAAAAATTGAGATATTGAGAAAGAAAGATTTCTGAAAAAAAGTACACAAAGCACAACTGTTATTTTAAGAATCATTACTTATTAAAACTATTATTTTTGTTTTAATATTACTGACTTTGTTTAAATATTGTTAATTTTGCTTAATCTAATTACTGTTATTTCAAAGATAAAAATCAATAATTACATCTTCAAATTTATAATATGAAATAAGATTTAAGAACTAATGTGTTTTGTGTTAAACAGTGTTAGATTGATAACAAGTAATTGTTTATGTATTTGATAGACATTCTATGATCATTCAAAAAATTCTTATTCATTAAATACTCTTATCAGGGAAAGGCTCATGGAATCTGTCTCAAAACTGTAAGTACACTAAATAGGTAGTGATTTAGTTTAAAACAAAGTTCTATCACATTTCTTTTATTCCTTATGTTATATCATATCACTTTTCTATTAGAAACATCTGAGACAAAGTTTTAAACAAATATTCAAAAAGATCTTTTAGAAAAATATTCAGAAATTTAGTACTTCCTAACAAATAAATTTGTAATGAAAGCAGGTAAGACCAAAGACTACAACAACCAGATTTCTCATAGTCAAAAATTTATTTTTAATCTGTGAGACACTAACATGAATTGTTAAATTTATTTAAGCAACAATTTAGCAGTAGTTGTAATATAAAATTAATGTAATAACAACCCATAGCAGACAATACAAGAATGAAAAATCACTCCAAAAAGCTACCTAAAATGAGCTTAAAAAGTTATAAAGGTTAAAGTTATAATTGTTCTGTGTACATTACAGTCTATATTCAAATTTGCATTTGTTAATGTTGTCTATTAAAGTCACATTACAGGCATTTGAAGGAAATATTCATATCACAACGAATAACTAATTACCTTGTGCCTTTATGCCAAAAAAGATTGTATCCTAAAATCTAATTTTTCCTTTATCTAAGATAAATATTCTTGAAATCAGCAGTACTTTTGAAAAGAACTAGTATCTAATGACATGTCTTTTACTAGTACTACTAGGTGTAGTGCTTGCTAGTTGTTTTGTAGCATAAAATTGATGCATTACAAACTCTTATTTACCTTACAATTGATACTTAACTTCTTTTTATTCTCAAGATTGTGATAATGTAGTGTTAATGATTTGGATTATATATTACAAGTAACACAGTGTAATGAAAGGAGGAAATTATCACAGTTAATTATGTAGTGCAGTACAAAAGAATACTTAGAGAATGAGAATATTAACCAATTCATTCCAATTAGGTCAGACTGAAAATGATAGCACTAAAGGCCATATTTTGGGAAACTAAAGAATATAGATGAACTTCAATTGGTACTATCTTATATCTAAAGATAAAAAGAAAGAAATTGAGGTTTTGAGTTTTTTGACATTGCAAGATTTGAACTGTCGAAACAAAAACAAAAATTATAGGGTAAAGGGGAGATAACAATGATTTGAGATATTTGGTATAATTTATTGTTTCTTGAAGTCAAAATTATCAAGGTATCTAGATCAATTAACTCCTTTGGAAGTTTTTTGTTTTCCTCTTTGAAGTTCCTATTTAATATACACAAAAGCTGTGAAAACAAATCCAAAATTAGAATTACTTTCATCAGAACAATTTCTATCTCTATGTATTTCTCTCTCACAAAATACTTGATACAAAAATGACATTACTTAATAAAGAAATTTAACATATCAAGCTACTATGAAAAAAATATTTTTTTTGTTGTTATAATACTGTAAATAAAGAAATTTTACTACGTGGTACTTAATATATTATTCAAATATTCATACAAATTGTCAATCTTCAATGGACAAAATTCCAGTTGAAAGAAAAATTAAATGATGAAATCTTCAAACAGCGGCAGCACATACTTGAGATATTTAGATAAATTAGATTAATTTCACATCTCCAATATATTATCGTTCCTTATGATTTTTTTCCTGCAGATTTCCACGTGAAATAGCATTGTTTTAATTTTTTACTTGTATTATATTCAAAATTTATTGTGAAACCGCGATAATTTACGCACTAAAGTATTTGAAAATTTCGAGGTTTCACAAGAAAATGACAGTTAAAAATCCCCACAAAGAACCTAATAATTTGTGGGTAATCAACACATTGTAAGTTAATTTCAGAATGAGGGCCAATTGTGTATTCTTTCACACTTGTAGATGTTTGAGATGGCACGATAACTTTGACAGTCAGTAATACCAACATCACAAGAGTGTTTGGTCATGAAATCCTAACCTCACTTCCCGGAAAGCTATTTCACTTACACTTCTATCTATGCAAATGCTTATTGTGCATCGTCCCCTATAATTGTGCAGCTTTCGTGCACTTACCTTTGGCGATTACCTTCGTTTCAACACTGTCTCACGTCTTTCTTAAACTAAACAGTTGTAATACTGAGATAACATCCCGGGCCGTCAGCATCTGTATCAATCCATATGGACCATAGCAACAAGGAAGGTGAAACAAAAGAGTGCGAAAAACCCGTGGAAGAGCAGTCCTCCCGTTTTTTAGGAGGAAATTGACACGGACTGGCGTGCACAGGAAATATGGGGGGAACCCGGACTCCAGACTTAACGGATGTTAGAGGAAAATTTGTAATTCGTTTCCAAATTTTAGTAGGCATTGTCATCGTAAAGTGAAATAATATAATAAAATAACGCTGAGATTGACAAGTAAATGTTACTTATTTTACAAGCCTTCATTTAATATTATTATTATTATTATTATTATTAATTTTATTATTATTATTTTTATTTTTATTCATTCTTATTATTGATTAATAACTACACAACACACAACAACAATAATATATAATAAAATAATAAGAAATCAATAACATAATAATACACAATAATATGATAGAAAAATTGGTGTATAAAGTATATAATAATATACATTGTACTCTTAGATTAGGTTTATATTTATTACGCATTTTTTATGAGAGTATGAAATACATATCAATAATTAATAATGATAATAGCAATAATAATAATAATAATATAATAAAAATTTTAATAAAAAGATAATTTTAATAATAATAATAATAATAATTTTAATAATAATAATAATAATAATAATAATAATAATAATAATAATTTTAATAATTTTAATAACAATAAAATCTAAAATGTCAAAGTAAAAATCTGTCATTCATGATAAGTCATTTGCACTTGATAAGTATTACCCTGACTCATTATTTATTTACACATTTCAATTTGTGTGTACTGACAGTATTTATGGTATATTTTGTGAGTTTTAATTTTTAATTTGGAAGATGAATAATCTTGTTTATCTCCATAACGTGAGAGTACTAAATTCATGTAAGCTGATGACCCGATCTCAAAGGAGTTAATTCTATAAATTTTTGAGTTAAAATATAGCAATAAAAAGTGTGCATCAAACGTAATAGTATAAACAACATTGTACAATAAGATAGGTGTATATTTATTACTCATTTTTTAGAAAGTGCATATATTCTTTGTAGAATTATGTGAAAGTATCACACAAGTTGGTCTGAAATAATGCTTTCAAACATTTTAGAAGTAAAAACCTGACATTGATTACATCCGTCTGCGTAATTTTTTGTCTGGTTTTGTTTTTGTTTCTTTATGTATTTTTCATGTTAATTTCAAATCTGCAATCAGCATTTTCGCATCAGCTCCAGTTTTTTTCTACAAACCAACATATGTTTTTGACATTTGTGGTCTTTATTAGATGTGAATGCTAATATAAAATGTTTCTTTTTTTTTAGACAGATTGTTATAATTACTTGAGTACAGAACATGTTAAAGATAACTAAATTTCATCAATTAACATGAATAGAAAATATAACAATGACCCAAAAATATATTTTGCTACTTGTGTGGTTGGACATTGCCGGAACAAAGGCCAGACATTACGAGTACAGCATTTGTGAAGGCCTATATTGCTTATTCTGATATGAAATTGAGAGATCAGGACAAGAGTTTTGCTCCACAGCTATGGTGTCAAATATTTGTTAAGTAGGCAATGTATTATGTGTTAAGTAGAAAATGGAACAAGGAAATGATAAAGGCAATTACCTTTTGATATACGTATGGTGTGAAGTGAAGGAAAGGGTTATTTAACATATTGTTACTTTTACATGTTGAAAATTACAAGGTAATTAATACTGAGAGACTTTATGTTAAATTTCAGAAGTAGAGAGGTGTCAAGGTTTCTGAAACATCAATATGATGGCTAACTTTTCTTGGTATCTGAAAAGAGATGAACCTGGAGCCATATTGAACCATATAAATTGTCTTATGTAAAAGGCCATTAAAATATTATAAAGGAAAAATTAAATAGCTACATTTATTTCAATAATTCACATTTATTACTCACGAGGGAGGCATATAGAAAAGAAGTACAAGGATACCGATTTTTTGCCACAATATTTGTTTTTTAATATAATTTTCTATTCACAAAGGTTGGGCTGAAAATATCTTGTGTTTAATTCACTTAATAGTTACCTTAATATAATCTACTGTTATTGTTATCTTTGTTATTAAGTTATTGTCTCTCTTTGAACAGAGAATGTCCGAATGGTGAAAGTAGTGAAAACTGCAGTTTCAATAGGGTTCACAGGATCCAGAGCACAAAAACTAGACGTGATTGAGAAAAACGAATATTATTTTTGAGTTCAGCATGGTCAATTTCTACATAAACATAATAACATTTTTTAAAAACATGCCAGGTTTATTATAAGTATGCCTGATTACACAGAAACATATTGAATATGTATTTTATATATTGGTATATACCTCTATTTTTTGAAAATATATTTTAAAAATATTGAATTAAATGCTGAAGTGAAATGAGATGTTATCTACTGAATATTAAGAGGCAGAGATGATTTGAAATTGAGATTGTCATATTTTATTACATATCACCATTCGTGAAAAACATTTTTCACAAAAATATCAAAGAAACAAGGAAAAATGAATTAAGAACAAGACAAAAATTAAAATTTTGATTTCTTGTATGTACTAGTGGCACCTCAGTAGCAAAAATGCTGTTGAAACACACAAAATAGTTTTCTGAAAGGGACCATGCACACTGCTCAATAATAACATATCAATTATTATTTTACGACACTATAATAAAATAAATATTTTAACAAAAACAGGCATTATGCAACCTGCAATAACATGATATTGTACATGTGGATGTACATATGGATACACATATGGTTCTTTATGTACTAACAATATTTAAAAAGTTTCTATAGCATAACTTAAAATGTGAATAGCAAATATTTAATGGTGGTTGGCTTCTTCCTTGGATCTTTGCTGTCGCAAGGAAGTGTCATAAGCAGTGAACCACTGATTATGAGAATACGTTCGGTACGTTCAGTATGAGAATAGGCTAAATTACACAATCAAATATTTGAATTTTTTAGTCAAAATCGAAATGGTTTAATTGTTGTATTTTTTCCGACTTGCTGAGTGTCTAACGAAACGATAGAAGCCACTCACATGGCCGGAGGCCGCATGCTTTTCTTTCAATTTCTACGTGCATTGGAAATTAGTATATAGATAATTGTAATAACAAGGAATTGTATTAACAAGGAATATTCAGTGTATGAACAACTTTGCCAACAATAGATTGTAGGATTATTCAAAATATTTATGTTGTCAAATTACATTTAATAATCTCCTTAGAAATCGGAACTGTTGCGTAGCAGTAGAAACTAATGAGAACTATTGATGGGCGTGTTGGTGGTCTTGGGAAGGGAAGAAATGTTTAATAAGAGTCTATAGAAGACGCGCGAAACGAGATAATCGCTAAGTTCGACTATGTACCCTGACATTTCCCAGAAGGCTATTACTTCTGGTTGCCAAAGTCACTGTATTGATCGATGCATTCCACTGAAGTTTCACTATGCGTTCAAGAGAGTGCGGGATGAAGTGTTTTGTAAATCTGGGTCCTAATTCTAAAACACGCTATTCTTTCGGACTACAGAGAGAACTCGAGGTTGAGTTTAAAAGATGCCCTTTTCTATAGTTCTGATGCAAGGAAAATCTTATGTATTCAGTTAGTAAATTTTAAAGGTTTCCCCAAATTCTAATATTTTATTTCACACGAAATGAATAAGCGGATTTATGATTCAGAATCCGAGTTTTGAGTACACGAGTAGGTTATACTCCGATCAAAACAGTTTCAACTTCGTTACGATTTAAATTGTTGGTATTGTTGCTCCCTATTGGATGTCAGTGTCTCCCTCTCATTTCAGGTCGTGACCTTGAAATGATCTTATGTTTTAATCTAAGCATAAGTTTTAAGTCAATAATGTTGAGTAATAATTTAGCCAATAACTCTATCATTACATATACGTATTGTTATGAATCATCATCCGATTACGTATTATAGAAAATGTTTTTACAAAAACTTGTAGAATTAGTTGGAGGCACTGAAGCGTCCTATTAGTAAAGTTTAAAAGACGAACATGCAATCTACGTCGTGCACTTCTTGTGAAGGACAAACTACTATGTTGAATTGAATTGGCCGATGCAACACACTTGACGCACGTGTACTGCAAATTGCCTGGAATCTTAAGGCGCTTCCCTGGATTGTTTTAAAGGTTATTTGTATTTAATTTGTATTTGTATTAAAAGGGCACGAAATAGCGCATTAGTGTTAGTTATTTGAATTTCGAGAGCTGATTCGATTGAATTACATATGACATGTACTAAATTTCGGAAAATATGTCGGGTTGCTTCAGCTTTGGAAAGCTCTTTGGAAAGCCCTTTGGAAAGCTCAACAATTTTTTAACTATTCCTTCGGAGATTCAAATTGTAGTAATAAAGCGAATATTAAAATATGTTTTGTATTTTGTTAGCGTTGTTTCACAATTGTTTGGTGCTGAAATATGAAAACAAATAACCGCTTCTCCTTCAGACTCAGATTTACCCATTGAAAAACTAAGTTCAGAGAATGCTTTTAAACACTATTTCAGAAATGAAAATAATGTATACAAAAACAAAAGTGAATTCGAAGAATGGCACCTGCTAATACGAGAAAATACATTCATGACCAAAACTGACTTCAACAATGTCGTAGCTGAAGCTTACTTTCGAGAGGAGGCGGTTAACATAATTAGGAGCAAAACAATGTATAATAAGAATATATGTTATTTAAAGACGTTTATTCATTTTAGCATGTACAATTCTTTTCCGACAAAACTTTATATTTTGTTAATTTAAATTCAAGTAATTGCACTGATAAGGGTACAATAATAGTACAATATCAATTATCTGAGTTACTATATTACAGATACAACAATACAATTTTACTCTTTGTATATCCTTCCATCAAATAAAACACATACTATTGCTGAAAATTTTGCTCAAATTTTGATTATACCAGCGTTAGAAGTGCCATTGTGATTAACCTAATTAACTTGAAACTAAATTTGGAAAAATTGATTAGAGATTTTTTACGCAACAAAATATATTCTTTAAAACTCGATCTTGAAATAATGTAAATGAAAATCTCTAAATGTTTAATTATTGCAATTGTTCAACTTCTTTAAAACGCGGAGAAGGTTAACTGTTAAAGGTTAGCTGTGCGTCTGGTGGTCTTGAGGTAATGTGAATCGTGCTAAACCTAAGAACGTGAGTTCGAATTCTAGGGCGTAGAAAACAAGTAGTGCTACACTCAACACATAATTTCGCGCATTATTTATAACATTTGCAATTTTCGAAAATTCGGAGAGTTGAGCGAAAACGATATTTGCGCCAAATCTTTAAAATTTGGTGGTCACCTTGTTGTATCAGTGGAAAAATATTTAGAGCGGTTTTTGAATTTTATTTTTATAAATTGTATTAATTGAGCAGAAATTACACGTAAACTGCTGTCTTTTTCAAAACATTGAACGTGTCTTTTTTTAAAAAGCTAATTTTTTAAGAATGGATATCGTCAATATTATACTTTTAAATTGTTAACTTTTTGCAATTTTCGTAGAGTTTGCAGAAGATTACACTAGCATCATTTTATACCGTTCTTTGAAATATACAAGGAGAAAATTCGAAGAAAAAATTGAAGCTGCTTTTGAGAAAATAATTGTTTTAAAAAATTTAAAATGGCCTATGTTTCACGCAAAATTTCACAAAAACTACTCATTGTTGAAAATTCATGTCCTAATTTCAAGATCCGTCGTTAAAAATTAGATTTCACTAGGACGAAAAAAAAATCTATCTTAAATTTTGTGGTTGTAGGCAGATGCCGAAATAAGTTAGAACTTTTGTAATTTTCGAAAAATCAAGGATTGCAACAGTAATGAACCCCGCACCATTCTCTTACACATCTTTTATGCGATCCAATAAAGGCACAATCCAATAAAAACATTTGTGGCCATTTTTGGGAAAATTTTGAAAATGTAATTGAGGATTCATGGAAGAGCAAAATATCTGTTTAAAACTCGCAGGGCGTCGAGTTCCTTTAAATCTATCGGGGAATATCAATTTTGGAGAAAATAGGATGAACGGTTTTGGTTCTAGCGTTGACCGCGGACGGGCGGTTGGGCGAACTTGTTGCTATCAATCACTTTCTATTAAACTTGTTGCTTTTGATATAAAGGACCCATAAAACATGGATTATGACTATACGTGTTAGAGGAAGTATTGTACTACATATAGGAATAAAGAGACATACAGTTTTTCGTTACCATGGACCTGCAAAAAGTTTGTCTTTAAAATAATTACTGCTTTCCGCGTCACTACTATACTTTCTCTTCTTACGAAGTAAGGTGCCTGCCAGTGTGTCTGTTTTTGTCTCCATGTGCGTCAGTGTTTTAATCTTGTACATAACTAGCGACCAAATCGTTGATAGGATTTTTTCCAAAATTAATATCCCTTCATCCGTCTGAATGTTGTCCTTCTTTGACATGTTTAATGTTCGAAAATTGTAAAAGTTATGAAAATGTTTTCCTACAGGTGCAATATTGAAGGATTTTTTCTTATTATTTGTGCTTCAAAATTATATCTTTAAATAGGATCACACATAAGAGAAAATTCTGTTTAAAATAATGGCGTAAGCCATTATTTGGCGTAAGCCAAGCTCTGTTTGTATTCCCAGAGCTTTAAGGACTGACAACAAGTAGAAGTAATAATTCTCTCGTATGTTATGCCTTGTGCTGCTAACCTCGAGGAAAATAGTGGGTTCATATTGCATTTTCCTAGGAAATGTGAAATGTCATTTACCATTATTTACACCATATCACCTGAAGTAAAGTATTTAACATAATTAGATTTATTTGCAAGATAATAATTGGAAGAGTATATACATAAATTTTTCAATATGTAAATATTCTCTTCTTTCAGTTTTGGTGTCACCAAATAGCTCAGCTTTGGGAACATTGCAGATCTATATTCTTTACAAGTGATCCACAATGCCCTCTGCAGTTTATTATTCCATGTCCCTGTAACAAAATAGCATCATATTAAGCGTACTACACAATGATATTAAGGAGAGATTGTTTCGATCGTTAGTTTGCCGTACTGTACATATACTTGTACTATGGCGACTGTTGGCCTGTGGCAGCAGATTCTGTTAACATATTGAGCGACACATTGAAAATATTAACAATTTTCTTTCTTTTTTTGACATTGCGCTCCAGACCTGACATATACTTTCATGCAATCTTTAATTGTCGAGATCACCTTAAATTTTAACTGTCGTCTAAAAGGATAATTGAGAATTAATCACATTTGACCGAGACAGTACTCTTCTTATTTTGGTCGTGGAATCATTATCATTAAGCCAGGTTTCATTAATATGGAGTGACGGAAAATATACTAAATTACTGTGGCTAAAGGAGAAAAAAAAATTCAAAATATCCTGCTCCACAATGGATAGAGACATCGGGCAATAAACCCACAATGTGACGCAAAATCACTTATTCGTCCTATTTGAATCTCAAACTATCGGCACCGCACATTTGATTCGAGCACAACTAATTCTAGCGCGAGCTTGCGTAATGTATTCTTCGCTATCGTGAAAACTACACCAAGCTTCCTTAAGCGCCCTGCAGAAGAAACACCACCATTCCTACGATATAATAACGTGTCAGATTTCACAACTTTTCACATCTCCGAATATACCGAAAAAAGGATTCCTTGCTTTCTATTATACAACTGAGTTTTTGTCTGTCATCTAATGAATCACTGAACATTGTACCATACGTCAGTGACCCGAAATACTGAAGTGGTGTAGTTTCCCGCTGTTTGCTTAATTGCAATATTAGATTTATAAGGTTTTCTCTATTTTCACACCACTCTCTTTGAGTTTATAATGCGTCGCATGAGACCTCACGCTGTTGTAGGTGTTCTCGTTTGGCGAAAATGTTATGTAAGCGACGGATATAAATAATATAAATATATCCGAATTTTTATCAGTCTGCACAACCACATGAAATGACACTCTGATACATTAAAATCGTGACACTTGACTGTGTAGTCAGTGAACATACAAACCTGCAGTAGGGGTAGTAATAACCAATAGTGATAATAACACTAACAATCAAATTATGAAAGCAACATTTTACAAAATTATTATTATTATTATTATTATTATTATTATTATTATTATTATTATTATTATTATTATTTTATTACTACTACTATTACTATCATCATCATCATCATCATCATTATCTAATATTTCAATATTGAGAATAAACTAGACAGGAAATTACAAAGAGTCTATGTATGAAAATTTCAAGATATCAAAAAAAACAACAAATTGACCTAATAGAGATATCGGATATTCCCTTTTTAAAAAGGACTTTAAATTAGAGTTCACTACATTAAAATTATATAGATTGTATTTTTTATTAAAACTACGTCGTGACACACATAATGCATTGAAAGCATCTACAACACCGTGAGGTCTCATGCGACGCATTGCAAACTCAAAGAGAGTGTAAAAGTAGAGAAAACCTTATAAATCTAATATTGCAATGCAAATGCATGACGTTTGAAATTGTACTAACTGCGTGCCATTGGGACTATAACGTCACGATTCTCGGAGCCATATTGACCAAGTTTACTATTTTAGAATATCAAGTGACGACGTTGACGATCAAATAATTGAAAGTAAAGGAGAGTGAAAGTACTGTTTTGAGCATATATGTGGGAGTATCTACCGTTCGACACCCATTTAAAGATTTTATAGTAGTTTGAAAATGTGAAATTCATAAAAATTGATTCAAAAACTTTTTTGATATCCCACTCTACACCACTAACTCCAGTTTTATTTTTTAGGAATATCATATTGATGTAAATTTAAGAGTTGCCTAAAAGATGCCCTTTCCAAAATAAAAATAAAAATATGTTAATTTGACCCAGAAAACATTTTTGTTAGTTCAAATACAGACACGAGTAAGTTGTTTAAACACATTCACTGCCATATTATTGAAGTATCAAGCCATTTTTGAGTGCAGATTAGTTTTCGGATTTTTTTCTTGTGTTATGGAACCTTAAGCGAAAAAACAACTGAACAAACCGCAGATGAATGTCATGTGCGACCCTTCTGATATTTTGCAGGGAGAAAAGTGTCGCCCAGTGCGAGTGCAAATGAAGGGCGATAGAATAACCCGCAAACAAAAAGGCATAAGGCACGTGTAAACCATGCCATTTTCCAAGTGGCTGTCTGGCACCCGCAATACGCTGCGAGGCACATTTCTTAGATTAACCTGTATCTTTTGGACCCATCCTCGTCTGCCGATATTAAACCGCCGAGACGATATCAAATAGCGTCTCGTGATTTTACGAACAGAGAGCCTGGCATCAGCAAATAACCCGTTTTTCACAAATAAATCCAGCAATTACTTTTCGCTAAGTTGTCGGTGTAAAGAAGCGTTAAAAAGAAGCATTAAACTATAAAAAAGTGGCGGTGCTACGACACATTCATTCTTGTTTTATTAGTAACTGTTATGTACTATAATCTAACTAAATGAACTCGCAAATGTGTCTCAAACCCGCAATAATTATTTTCATATTAAGTGCATGAATATATTGTGTTTTACACGCACGAGATTGAGGATTTTTGCCGAGACCTGAGGGTCCTGGGGGAAAAGACTTCAACCGAGATCAAGCACAGTAACTTCACTCACGAAATATAAACAGTTTTTCTACGATCGCATAAAAATGTTTCTATAACAAATTAAAATTGGTTTCATCTCCATTCTTCGTGGTTTTATCGCATTTCTTTGTTTTATCACGCACACGGCAGCGAAGCATCATTGTCCCACCGCGCCACCTTCATTAACGATTCAAAAACAAAAGCAGGATGCCATGGTCTTGTCTATGAGGCAGTGAAGTGAAGCATTATTGTACCAGACCAAAGTAGGTATTACATTCTGCTGTAATAATGAGAGATAGTGATATTGACACGCCACAGTAATTGTTAGACAGCGCGAACGCCACAGTATCTAATTTATTACTTAACTAGTGGTGTTACAGAATGGCACACTTTCCCGTATTAGTATTCTATTTCATTTGGTCTCGGTTAGTTAGTCGACCTAGCCATATATTCTTGCCTGCTGCCATCTATTGCAGCCATAAGTACATTTTGTTGACATGTTCATAATTTTACGGTTTTCTAATTGTACAGTGGAAATATTTTTAGATTATTGAAGAACAGTAAAACCTCGTTATAAATGGCATTTTTTTTAAAAAATTTGAAGCCGTTTTTTTTTAAAAAAATAGCCTTTAAGCGCAACTGTAAATTTAAAATTTGAAGTTTTTCACAAAAAATTTTGAGTTTTCGAAAAACTTAATTTAAATTCATTTGAAGCACTTGACCTCACAAATTACAAATTGCAAAGTGTTTACAAATTGCTGGAAATGTGCATATCAACGTCGTGTGAGATATTTCAAAAATTTACATTTGCGTACTTAAAAAAATACACTGAAATGAACAATATATCATATTAAAGCGTGCAATTAGCACTTTTCGTTTGAAATGTTTGAAGAAACAATTTGGAGCCATTTTTGAGAAAATGGTTATAGAGCTTTTCTGAAAATACGGAGTTTTGAGCTAGTTTCGCAGAAAACTGTAGAGTGTTACAGAATTTTTATCTGACATTATTTAAAGCACATGTACTCATATAAACAATAATGTCACTAATGTAAATATAATAATTGTCACTAATGTAAATATTAACGAAATGAGAGACGAGTCAAAAATTAAATTTTCATAATTTTTGAGAAAAGAAAAGAATAGAGAATATAGCGTTTATGTCATCTTATAGAGTACATTTAGCACTATCCCTGCCAAAAGTTTAAAGAAAACATTTGAAGCAGTTTTTGAGAAAATTGTTTTTTGTAATTTTTTAAAATTGCACATTTTGCACACAATATTGCGCGAAAACTACTAAAATTTTCAAAAAAAACATGACCTTAATGAACTAATTATGGAGAACAAATTTTATTTGAAGGAAAAATCTTTATCTTCAATTTTATAGTTATATGAAGACACCAAAACATATTAATACTTTTGAAATTTTCAAAAAATTAGAGTTAACCGTGCAAATCGGACCTATGCCACCACCAAGTCTATGTTCTTGCAAGAAATTTAAAGACAAACTTTGGAGCCGTTTTTGGAAAATTTTGAAAATGTCTGTGGGGCTTCATGTAAAGTACCGCCAAATTTTCAAGATTTTCAAGATCGACACGGGTTTCATCAATTTGGAAAAAATCCTACGCATGGTTTAGGCGCTAGTCGTTTTCACAGACACCGGACGAAGGAACGGACGGACGGACGGACGGACGGACGAAGGAACGGACGGACGAAGGAACGGACGGACGAAGGAACGGACGGACGAAGGAACGGACGGACGAACTCATTATCTCCTTCTGTTATCAGTGAGGCGTTACAACATTATGTTGCAAAACGCAACAATAACAGCTAATTCGTATGGGATACAGTTTGCATATTAGCATCGTTCATACCCCTGGCAAGGAAATGAAAATAAATAGAAAATATAATAATTAAATATAATATCCTTATATATTGAAATAAATTGTCTGTTTTTCGCGCATTACTCTTCATTCTCACATCTTATGCAAAGCGAAATTATATATTCGTTTTCAAATTTAACTCAATTAAAGACAGCGATTAAAAATAGGTTTTAAATAAATTATAAAATATTAATTTGTCAGCGTATAACAAAAGCTCAAATGTAAGAAACGAACAAATAAATATGAAATAATATACAAATTTTAAATTATGAGGCATCATGCTGGAATTACCTCTATTATATTCACGTAGAGCAGTCAATTGGGAGCGGGCTAATATGTTCGTCACGATGTTGCAAAAAACCCACAAATTTTAAAAAAAATTAACAGAAACTTATTTGAAGATCTGTTTTTGATGAAAAATTTCATTAAGACAAAAATTGTATCTTCATAATTGTAG